ACGCAACAATATTCAGACATTTGAAAGGTGGTTTTAAATGGGCGATTTTTTATGGCTGCCATTTTGTTTCATCACAATCCCTACTATTAAGTACTACTATACTTAATGATATTCGATACTGTCTAACATTACATTTATTAAAACCACAACTATATAAAACTAATTTGAGTTCTTATTGTTATTTGGCATATTTAGGTGAAAATGAATAAGTGGATAGGTCCACTCGATAACTGAACATCTGATAAAATATCAATTATGGAGTAGTACCAAATCCATTATTGATTGATTCAATGTCAAGTGGAACAATGAAACTGGACATAATGTGTAAAACAAAATTCACATTCTTCATTATAACAAAGAAACACACATACAGTGAGTGTACTTGTAGTTATAATAATCCTGGACAATTGTTTTTATTGGATCTTTTCTTCCAACCATTAAAGTTGAAGTGATGTACCAGACTATTAAATGCATTATTCTTTAGTTCACAAGAAACCTCACATTTACCCAGATATGCACTACCTATGTCACTTGTCATTCTCATTATTACATAGGTGGGGCTGTGACCTCTATATATCAGCTTAAAAACTATTGAAAGACACTGCTTTTGACATCTTTACACAAACTAATATAATGTTCTCCCCAGTAACAACAGATATCATCCATTTTCAAAAGGAACAAATGTAACTTGAAAGAAGAACAACTTAACAGGATTCTTGACCACATTATGTGAAATTTGCACCTATATAGAACAAGGAATGAATTCAGAATAAACATTGTAGTACTACAAGAAAATAGAAACACATGGTATATTCACATGCCACAGTTACATCTGAAATTAACTACCTTGATAATGTAGTCTGATTTACCTTAAAATTACTAAATGCCACAGTTTGACTTAATAATTTGATTGCTATAGTTAAACATTACTATTTTAATAGCACAAGAAGTATTTCAATGTTCCACCTTGACTGAAACAAGTCCTACCTAACTGAAGACCATTCATATTTTTGTTAACCTAACTATTCTTGATTTTTAAATTTGGTTAGTCTTTGAGCCTGAGTCGTCTGTTTGACTGCTCACTCGTGAAGTAACTATGTATACAGTACACCCAGATCTCACTATCTACATCATGCAGATCAAACAATCAACAACTACATGAAAGATTTGGTCTAGTGGATGAATCATTTTGGAATTTCTTTTTCACCCAAAATAGCATAATCCTGAAACAATCTAGAAACAATATAAAAGATGTTGAATATTATCAAATTAATCTAAATAATCTCAAAACATACAAAAATATTAAGCATTACCCAAAATAGCTTAATACCGAGTAGATATTCAGGAAACAATATAAGAAAATGTAGAAAAATACTTATTAATGACATATTTCTAAAAAAGATATGGTTGAACTTACACAAGATAAGACATGACATAACCCACAATGATAATAAATGCAACAGACAAGACAACAGAAATGGCTGGAAGGACTTCTTGGCGACTGATGTTGTCACGTAGTACATCACCCATGATGATAAGTCTATTTACAATGCGACTAAAGAGTCCCCGTGCTTGTTCATCAGATAGACTAGCAACTTTCGCATGATAAGGTAGACCTTCTGTTGTTTGTATCAGCTGCTGTAAGTTTTCTTCTAATTTCTTCTTGGTATTATTCATCTATAATTTTCATATAAAAGTTTCCATTTCTCAGCACAATATTTAAAAAATTGCATAAATTAGCATACAGAAAAATATTTATTCTACAGGATATTTTAAAAAAAATGTTTTACAAGAAAAATCACTTCTTGCAACCTTTATGATATAATCAGCCCAGAATTTGAAATTATAAATACCTTATTCAGTAAAAACAGTTTGCAAGATTCTAGTTGACTGCAGCAAAAAAAAAAAAAAAACAAATTCCAGAGAAAACTAACTGATTATCATGCTAAGAACAGAAACCAGGTGGAGCATAATTTTAAATTATTCAATATATAAGCTTCTATGATAACATATTTCCAAAAAGTTTCACTTTTCATATATTAGAATTCATGATAATTCTGTTTTACATTAACACAAGTACATGTGACTGAGTGTCATGAAGCACAGTACATGGGTAATCTTTTCAGAACTGAAGATTGTAAAAGAATGTTTTTTATATCTAAAAAAGTATACAATAATTTACTTCATTAATATAAATAAAGGCTGGTAATTTAACATGCCACTATTAACACATCAATTATACAGATTTATTAGAGGGTTTGAACAATAAGGAAATCAGTAATAATTTTAAGCTTTCACAACACAGGCTAATGAGATATTGATAATCTACAAAAAGACAAATGTTTTTATAATGAAGGGATACAGATTAAGTAATTGAAACAAATAAGCTTCTTAAAAGACTTTGTATTGAATATTTAACAGCATTTAAGACACTATTTCAACAAATTCTGTTGTGAGAGTATAACAAGTCTTCTGGGTATAAATTGTTTTATGATCTACAACTTCATCTCACAATCTATGAATATGGTTTTTCTCTTATTTATGCAGTCACGTGATGGTCTATGTACTGAACTATGCTGAAAATATTAATAATCTTTATACTTACCAATTTAAATATTATTATTATTAAAGACAGTTAACACGCACTTAATTTAATTATAATGAACACCTCAATTAAAAACGATTTTGTTTAATAATTTGAAATGGGACATTTGAGTAAAAATATTTACCTGTTAAAAACTAAATTCTTAAAAATTAGCCTGCATTTTACAGGTTTGATCAGTAATGTACCAAATGTCAATCATTATTCAAACTATAAAGCTTAACCAAAAAAAATGACTCATTGCTGAAGACCTTATGTTCTTACAAATGGTCAAAAATACTATTATTTATTTCTGGCCTACATTAGCTTATACCCTGAAGTGAAGAACAGCTTCTAAGTTAAACATATCCATGCTGGTAACAAAAGAGAATTTCCTAGTCCAGTATAATTTTGGTCCATAATTAAAGAATTGAGAAGAAAAAAAATTATCTAAGAAAAAAATCAGTTTTTACATCTTAGATTAATTAACATACTTTATTGATGAGCACAGTTTCATATTTTAGATTAATTTGAAACAGCATTATCTATTGTGCCACTTTTGATGAAAATATAAATTAGACATAATGAACTTACAGCATCTGGCTTTATAGACCACTTAGCCTCTAACCACTGGTAGCGAACTTTGTCAAATTCTTGTCGCCACAAGATTACAACATGAAGATCTGGTTTTTCTGGTGCTCCTTCTCCTGTTGACAAGGCATTTACAAATTCTTCCTGCTTTTCTTTGAAAATGAACATGAACCTGTGGAATGAACACCTTGCTTAAGTTTACATGTATAAGAAGCACCTAAAGAAATGAGAAAAAGAAAGATTTTTAATGAAGTTTCATAACGGATAGCAAAAAGTAAGAAAATACATTCCTCTACAAAGGCTGAATAAGCTAAACTAGAACATAACTGTCTATTAGTTTAAACAGTATCTCACTTGACAGTGAGACATACATGAGCATTGATAAAGTTAGAAATAAAATAATCAAATAAGTACATGCATCTCAGAATAACTCCGTGAAAATAAACTCATAATAAAATTAAAAGTTTATGCCTATATTTAAAAAAGGTGAGCTTCTTTTTCCTTCCATGTTTGATTATTTAATATACATGTAACATCCCAAGATCAACTACTTAGAGTTAACCTGATTTCAAATACTTCTGAGCTTCCTAATTCTAAAATAAAAATTAATGGTTTACCAAATGGAATACTGTTTCTGAGGAGGAAAAAGAAATATTTAATTTTTACAAGGCAGACACATAATATTATCTTGTAGAACATCACTACTTAAGATGCTTAACTTCAAGGTAGCTTTCTTGTTACCAACATTTCTTGAAAACATTCTATTGTTTTCTATAAATAAAAACAAACTGAAAGTAGTTATTTCTTTTAAACCTATATTTTGTTTACAGTGAAGCTATTAATTATGACTCCTACATGAATAAACATAAAAAAAATAAACATCTCACTGATGTTAAACATTCATCAATCAAAGATATCCATAGTAGAAGCAAATCCACTGAAAACAACAGAGGATGGAGAAACCACTCTGTGGGAAGGGTTCAGGCCTAGGTGAGATAGTTGATCCACCCTCAGGGCCTGAACTTTTGAGACACGAAAGATTGGGAACTGACATTTGTGGTTACGGGCCCAAAAGAGAAAGTCCAGAACCACTTAACAGAAGTTCCAGGAGTGAGAACCTCCCTGTCAGGAAAAGGAAGAAACAACAGATGTGTCCAAACGGATAATAATAATAATAAAATTAAACAGACAAGAAATTTTAATTTTAGCAAGCCATCAATGACATAGAATCAAAGAAGCTTCACATCTGGAAACAAGATGTTGGAAATGGATAATGCATCCAGAACAGAGGCAGTGGAAAGGTGTGGTTGTAAGATTGTTTAGTATCAAGCACAAAGTAAACATAAAGTGTCACCAGTACTATGTTCATCATGGAAATGGAAACCCCATATGTAAGCAGAAGGAGCCCACAGGCTCACTTCTGAGCCTCCCAGTGCTCCAAACAGATGCAAACCTGAGAAAGGTGAGGAAAGATGGATGTCCTGGTCACAAGGGATTGAGTAAGCCACCATTGCCACGAGAGGTTGAAAAGAAGATAATTTATCTTTGTAGATACATGCATTGACAGGCCAGGAACCACTGAAGGTGACATGTATGAGCACATCTCAGAGAAATCAGACTCAATAGAAGAGTGTCTTCCAAAACAATACATGTGAGAAACCCTTAAGTGAAAGAAAACAAGATGGAGGTTGAGACTGAAATGGAGAGCCAAACCAGCCACACCAAATGTTATGACTCTTGAAGGAAAATGAAAGTTGCAACAGGGGAAGCCAGTAATGACCAAACATCCATAGAGTGGAATAATGGTCCTCAAGAATTTAACCTTTGAGGAAAAATTTCAATTGACACAAGGAAAAATTATGAGACTTGAAGGAGAATGGGTGATAACCAAATTGTGGGCTACTGCAGACTAATCAAAGGAAGTGAAAGGTGGGCAGACAAATCTGGATGTGGAGAAATATCCGAGACTTTGGATTGGGTCATCGGATGTCTCCAGTAACAATTTGCTTCTAAGACCTATGATGGCCAGTACTCAAACATGAGGGACTATGGATAGTAACAAGAGGACAAAGAACAGAAGAGGGGTGACCCCACAAAGCCATATACAATGAAAAACCTGGTGGGACCCTCTGGTTCCAAGGGTAGGAAACTAAAGTGATCAGCAACTGTTCAGGAGCAGCATCAGCTCAAGATGTTGACATATAAAAAATATATTAAGAAATCACATCATAAAGAAAAGATGCAAGAAAAAGGTCCTGAAGAGGAGATTGAGGGAGGCAAAAGTCAGAAAGTAAGGTAATCTAATAAAGGACATCCCAGAAAACAAAGTAACCAAGTTAACTAGGAAATATGGAAGAAAACTGAGGGCAAGCTGAAAAACAGTTATGTGTAAGTTGCCCAAATGAAGTTGCTAGGTTGTGATGGAAGCCTCCAAATGAAGATGAAGCATGATAATGATAAATAAGTTGAGTAAAAGATAAAGAAAAGAAGACAGAGAGAATGAAAATGGGGAAATACCTAAACTAAAAGAAATGAATCAAGTAAAGGAGGATCATGCAACAAGGGAACTTGCGATTCATCAAAATGTTACAAGCAAAAGACAAAACAAAGAAAAAAAATACATATACCAGTGGAATCCAAGCAGTGAAGGATGAAAGTGGGATTACCTGACCCATGTCATGAAGAAGGAATAACAAGCAAAAGCTGGCATGGAAACAACAGTGGTGATACACAAGGTGGGTCAGGCTCAGTATAAGTAAAAGAAGTAGGAGATCAAAAATCCTTCTCTAGATTCAAGATCAGAATGGAGTTAACAATGTGGTGCAAAATGGCAGTAATATCACTGACTGTCTCCAACTGAAATGACAGTTTTGGATGACTCTGGTCAAGGAGTGTTTAAAAACCTCAGGAGATGCCAGACATGTGGGAACAGGAATGCATCATCCATTTAAACCATGAAACTGATATTCTGGTGGTCTGTGTTTTGTATTTTATCAGTTAGAAAAAAAATGAGCCAGTTATGGCAATGGTGCAAAGGTCTAATGATGATCTTTAAGAGCACTCAACAAAACCCGTATGTTGGATTAAACAATGGGAACAAGTGTTCCAAAAAGTAAAAGGTCAATTGAAAAAAAAAACAAAAACTAAGGATAATTCAAATGAAAGTTTTAAATGATAAGATTAAAAGTTAGTATTGTTCTTTCATATAATGAAGGAGAGAAAGACTACATGATAAATAGTAATGAAAGTTTAAAATAATAAGCACAAAAATTCCAGAAATCTTATTAAGAAAAACATACCTGAAGACAAGCACAGGGCTATTGTCTAATGATGATTATATTAAAGACTGTACAATACACAGTGGGAGTTTTGTTCAAGGTTTGTAGCATGCCCAGGAACTTACATGGCAGTGTAAGCAAGGTAGTAGCCTTTTGTGCTGCAGAGGGGTGGGAAGCATTTCTGAACTTTTTCATTCAATGTAGTTTTTTTATATTTCTGTATGATGACAAACTTCCACACCTGTGTGTATCATTAAAAATGTTGCTGTAATTGTTCTGCTGTTGGTTGTTCTTTATTTCTCTTGGTACTTTTGGTTTCAGTCATAGGACCAGTACTACTAATGGCCTGAATAAAAAGAATACCATTACAGCCCAATTTAATTCCTGTCAGAGGGTAGAAGATAATGGTACAGGTATGAAGGGAATGTTGAGTGGATTGAGAGAAGAGTTATATGTAATAAAACTTATACAAGTGAATTAGCAACAGCTTATTTTTATTCAATGTGCTGAAATGTACATACTTATTTATTGAAAACTGTTGTATTTGAAGAATTTTATTTGAATTATTGTAAAATACTACATAACAATGATTTCAAAAATTGTGACTTTATAAACTGAAAATTAATAACACTAACAATAAAAATACCCTTTAATTCTTAATATTTTATGAAACACGAAGTGTCAAAAACACAGAAAAAAAATAGTTACTTTCAACAAAGAAAGAAAAATTCACATTAACTACTGAAATAAATCTTCTAAATAATTCCTTGTTTTACCACAGTCACCCTTTTATTACATGATTTCACATTATTCCACACATACATTGATACAAACAGTAAAATAAGACATGATACAAACTACTAAACTTCTTTTATAGTAAGTTGTACAATGACAGCCTAATCATGATATGAATCTGTATGGACATATAACAATATATGAAAATGGAAATAAAAAGTCTATTAATAGATTGTCTACAAACAAATGATCAAAACACAAATTAAGCTAATGACTATGAACTATCCTTCAAGCAAGTATAAACAAGTTTATATAACATCTGAAATTGGTGATAGATCTGATATACTTAGAACTACACCTAGGACATTTAACTTCATAACAGCATTAGATGTTATCAATGGCAATATTTTATCTTTAAATCTGAAAAACGTTTGTAATTTATATTCAATTGAAAGATAACCAATACACCTATTTGTGGATAAACTCTATGAAATGTTTATACTATTGTTTTTTCACTAAAAATGCATGCTTGACAGAATATGACAATATCACTCAAACTATTTGCTTTAGAACATAATTTAGTTTTAGATAAAAATAATCATGTATGATGTGGTCCAAGATATTTCTAGGAAAGCCACAAGTCTGAAACAAACTCCAACTTCTACATGTGACTGTGTGTACTGCACCAGTCTATGACATAATTTTGGTAATGCTGTAGTCCTCCACCAATAGGAGGGCTGCATGACCTCTATTCACAGTAATTGGCATGAGCATTAGCACAAGATCGAAGGCTCATTCTTGAAGAGGCAAAGAAAGTGCAATGGAAGTGGGAAGGAAGGGTGGGCAGGTGGTGCAGAGAAGTAAGTAGCTATCTGAAATACATTTTCTGGTAAGAAAAATGTTGACCTCAGAAATACTACTACTATATATATAATTAAAAGAAGTACAACATTATAATAATTGCACAAATAATTTATTAAAAACAGGGTCTAGCCATAAAAAGACTACAGCTTTCAGTGTTCCACACCACCATTCTCAAGAAAAAAAATTTAAAGCTTGATCATGACTTATATAACCATATCAATTATTTGCATACCTTTAATGCCATCTAGAATTAACCACACCAAAGAGTATATAAGTCATATGTCCACTACTTTGT